TGACCTTCTCCCATGCCTCCTCTGGATCATCCAGATGGTCTTTGGCAAACTTCAAACAGGCCTGGACATGTGCTGTCTTGAGCAGAGGGACTTTGCGTGCGCTGCAGGATTTTAAGCCATGACGGTGTAGTATGTTACTAATGGTAACCGTTGAGACTGCGGTCCCAGCTCTCTTCAGGTCATTGACCAGGTCCTCCCATGTAGTTCTAGGCTGATCCCTCACCTTTCTCAGGATCATTGATACTCCACAAGGTGTGATTTTGCATGGAGCCCCAGTCTGAGAGAGACTGACAGTCATCTTGAATTTCTTTCATTTTCTAATAATTGTGCCAACAGTTGTTGCCTTCTCACCAAGCTGTTTGCCTATTGTCCCGTAGCCCATCCCAGCCTTGTGCAGGTCTACAATTTTGTCCCTAGTGTCCTTAGACAGCTCTTTGGTCTTGCCCATAGTGGAGAAGTTGGAGTCTGATAGATTGAGTGTGTGGACAGGTGTCTTTTATAAGGTAACGAATTCAAACAGGTGCAATTAATACAGGCAATGAGTGGAGGATAGGAGGGCTTCTTAAAATCAAACTAACTGGTCTGTGAGAGCCAGAATTCTTGCTGTTTGGTAGGTGATCAAATACTTATTTCATGCAATAAAATGGAAATAAATTATTTAAAAATCTAACAATGTGATTTACTGGAATTTTTTTGTAGATTCTGTCTCTCACAGTTGAGGTGTACCTACGATGAAAATTACAGAACTGTCCATTTTTTGTAAGTGCGAAAACTTGAAAAATTGGCAATGAATCAAATACTTACTTGACCCACTGTATGTATTGAATACAGGCACAAAACTGTATGTACAAGTAGTGCCACTGTTTCCGTTATACCACACTAATACAAAAGTAAGTTACTGACTTTAATAGTTACTGGTTATTACTAGTTGCAATTTGGATAAAATAACTAGAAACTTTAGTGTATGAAGCAGACAGGAAAATGAGGTACTACATATTAGAGCTGGAAAATTTGGTTTTGGCACAGCAGAAACCCCCACATCATCTCTCTGATTTTGCTGTTGGGTTGTGTGCATGAGTGACCTAAAAAGGTGACCCAAATAGAAAGTCAACGCAATCCCCTCCATCACCTGCACCATCTAAATATAGACATAAAATCAGGGTTAAGAGCATGAAATAGACAGAGATCACCACAAAGCCAGACATTTTCAAGGGAAGACGTGGTGGATGTTATTTTTGCATTTTGAATTTACACCAGTCACATGGAGATACTTTAGAATAAACATATTTCTGAGTTGAAATTCTTCATTTTTAGATGAGTGTAACATACAGTAACTAATGTGTGTCTGGGGCTGAAATGGACACACATCCCAACACAAGTGCTGTTCAATTTCTCTTTAGTCATGCATTTGTGTGTTGGTGTGTGTAGATTGCACATTAATGCCAGGTGTAAACAAACTGTGATGACACCACTAACAGGTATGAAGGACAGACAGGCCAACACAGGAATTCCCCCATACCTGCAACTTCTTTTAGCCTTTGCTTCTATTAGAAATTAAAAGTCTCCTCACAGCTCTGCGTGATAATCATGTATTTAGCATTCAGACTCAACATGCAGGGTACTGATGCTTTTAAAGATTTCAATACCAAATCAAAAAGATCTCAGGGTTTTGAACTGGTTTGAAACCAATTTAGTCACATAGCAACAGTGAGTTTCGTGTTTTTCGAAAGACCTGACAGACTGATGATTACTGTAACAACAGAAATACAATACAAGACACATGGCTGTATGAAGCTGCAAAGATAATAACCAACACCATCAGTCAAACTTCACTAACATTTAGCCTGACAAAACACACACACACACACACACACACACACACACACTACTGTAAATATGATGCTTGTCCTCTTCATCCTC